TTCATGGGAGCTCAAGTTCAATATCTTCCCAGTGCTCCTGGCAGTTGCAGCAGAGGCTGAGCTGGTCTGTACTGGGGGAGATGGGGGCAGGTAGGGAACCAGAAAGACACTGCAGTAATTGCAGAGCAGGCAGGAGCATGACCACATCTGTGTAGCATTTCATCCAGCTCAGTCACCTCTGCTTGAGGTTTCCCTTTTGACTTTCTTTTGGACTTTGCTTGTCTAAGCCAGTGAACTGTGTTGCCAAGGTACCTGCATTTTAGGTGGCACTACACTGAGTGAAGTGGAAAGGAAGCAGATGAGCTCTGAAATCATGTTCCATCAAAACCACTGTGATTTTATGTATTTATGTCGGATGTGCTTGGATGCAAGGACTCTGTTCAAGTGGTAAGAGTACAATAAGACTTGCAGTTCAGGGACTCGACACCAGACTGCTGCACTTCTCAAAGTGCTGATTACTCTTTACCAGCAGCGCTGATACACGTGTTACAAAGCTGCCTTGCTAATACATGCTTCAAATCTAAAATGAGCAATGAAAAAGTCCCTCTCAAAATGCATGTGCCATTCCTGAAGTATGTATGCTGAGGCCAGCAGAGCACCAAACATGTTTTAATTAGAGCTCTGAGTGACACTACTGGCAGAGGTGTAAGACCACTGCATTTTGTGGTTTGAGCTGCCAGGAAATTAATACATTTGTGGGTCTTTCATGCAGTCTTTCTCCCCCGGAATGTTAAAGTTAGATGACTTTCAGCATGGTGATGCAGACTGTAAAGGTTCAGAGAATTACCTTGATGGTATGACAGCCTCTTCCATTTCAACTACAATCCAAGGCTCATCTTTCCTCTGAGGCATTCATTGAAATTCTGTGCACGATATGTTCCTCTGGTTGTTTAACAATGTCTCTCATGTTTGCCCTGATTTAAAAAATCCTCCTTTGTAGCAGAGATAACATAGAGCAGGATGATATAATTGCAGTAAAGAGGCCCTGGAGCTTGCAGTAATAGGATGGTTCATCTGATGTGTACTGCCATTAGGAAATAACCCACGTATGTATGTTCTCAGGGGACAGTAAAGAGGCTTTTAAGGATTACTCTGTATGTAGTATGAAAGCTAATGAGTAAAAGAGCAAGTGCAAATAAAGCTATTGCTACGTAAGCATGGTGCCACTTCCAGTTCTCACTTATATCCTTACACCTCTGTAGCTCCAAAACATCCATCTCTGCCCAGTGATGTGTGGTTTTTCATGCACTGCAGTCGGTTTGAGACTTTTGCAGACTTTTGAGAATACTGTATTATTTTCATTTCACTGAAAAGTGAAAAGCAAGGCGGAGCTAAGTTGAGGATTGAAACTTCTGTGTGTGTACAAAATAAGTAATTTTGAGGGAATAGCACTCTCAAATGGTCTGTGCCCTAAAAAAAAAAAAAAAAAAAAAAAGTAGATTTTGCTAGAATAATACAGTTTCACAAGTATTGGTGGAAGGTTGATACTAGCCTCAATTCTCTGACTTTCATTCTTCTTCCTGGCCAGTGTGCAGAAATATACGAAGACATAACACAGTTAATACTGAAGGACTTGTTTCAAATGTTATATGTAGAATTTGGGCTGTGGTAGTAGGAGATCAAGAGCATCTAGTTTCTGATATTAACAACTTTTTGTCCAAATGGATTGCCACATAGCATGACAATTGTTCCACTTGCATTTGTGCTGAAGTAGAAGCCATTTAGCAGAACAGACATTGGCTTCTTTGTTTTGTCACAGCATTTTTTCTCTTGCTTATAGAGCTTGTTATAGATAAAAAAATAATTCACCTTTTAATATTCTGTACTCCCTCTGTACTGTTGGAATATATTTTTGTACCCTGTCAGATTTTTGTGTTCAATAGAATGTATGAACTTGGATTTTTCTTTATATATTTAACATAGTAAAGGATCAAGCTTTGCTATCAGGTAAAATGAAGTGGCCTTACCTGAGCTGTAGAACCTTGCAGAGGACATGGGATTTTGACTAAATGCTATACTGGGGTTGTGCAGCAAGGTCTGACATCCATAACTTCATTTCATTCCAACGGGTACTGATGATAAAAAAGAAGTCCATGAATATTAAGTAAGGAAGAGATGACAGCCAGCATTGTTGCAGGAATACACGCAGGCCAGTAACCTTAAACATCGCTGTTTCTACCCACAAGTCAAGGAAGTAAATAGACAAGAGTACCTCCTTCCGGACCAAAGAAGTGACTTATTTTCCCTTGAAGTCTAGGAGGATTCAGGATACAACCTCTTTGCTTCCATCTTATCAAATTGGAAGTATGTTAGAGTGCACGTGAGGTATTTTTCTCTTTGTGTTGATGCTTTTCTGTGTGGTCAGAGAATTGCAAAGGGCTCACAGAGGGAGTAGAAAAAAGGTCTCACTTTTAGGGGTGCAAGCAGTACTCTGCATGTGGGGACAGGGGTAAAGAGTGCCCATGCCCTATGCACAGGAGAAATTCCTGAAGTCCTTGAAGATTGTTAAAATAATAATCCATAGCCTAATAGACCTCAGGTCTTAAGCCCGTCTTCTTTTCGTATTCCTGCACCTAAAACGTGGTTATGTCATGTACTAAGCAGTGTTTGATAATGCAGAGGAGATTTTCAGGGTGGAGAGTGTTTGTGTGTGCATGTATCATTGGAACTAGATGATCTTTAAGGTCCCTTCCAGCCAAAGCCATTCTGTGTTTTTGTAATACCCCTATGAGATCATGCCCACATGTTTGTCATAAGTGTAGCTCCTTCAACATTTCCATAAGTTTTTGTTTCAGTTTGATACTCATGTCTATATAGGGTAATACATTTGTCGTATTTGGAGAATGTGAAACACAAAACTGAGGGGAAGAGAGAGCTGCGTATTCAAACATACAGCAGAGCATTAGCAGTAATCTGACTAAAGTAATGGTAATGCAATCATATTTACTAGACATACCGGAAGAGTTTTCTATTTGACCCGAGTGGTGTCTGTCTGTCTCTGCAGAGTACCAGTCCACCGCCCTGCGCTGGTGCATCACGATCCAATTCTCTGAGCCCAAATCCAGTGTTCAGTTATATTCCCAAAATGTGTCACTTGATCCCTGGTCCACCATCCGTCTGTCGCTCTTTACACATCTGGGACTTACTTTAACAACTGCAAGTGACGTGAGATGAATTATCTCTTGCTGCTTCTGCTGTCAGTTGACACCTCTCTATTAAACTTCCAGTCTTGCAAATACCAAAATAGTAGTGCTAAATTTTTTATTTCAGTCCTTTATCCCTCCCCCCTATAATTGGTATACTGGAGCAGAAGAGGACTTGCAATTTTATTATTGCTGTATAAGCCTTCTGTAAACTCAGTTACAGCACTTCTGATGTTGGTAATTTTTCTGACTAAAAAATATGCTGACACTGTGTTTGGGCATAGGAAAAGAGTAAATTTGAATGTATAATAATCTGGTGAATCTGGGAGGTGTTTGATGCTGTATCCCAGCCAAGTTAATCACTCATGGAATTTTTTTTTTATTTGCTCAGTTGACTGGAGACATTAATCTCATATCTGTAGAAAGGCATCTTTAATGCCAAAAACTTGATCATAGATACCCAACATTTCTCTGGCATAGAAAAGATTTTGAAGGAAAGCTATCAGTTGACAATAGAGCAGCAGAAACAGAGACATTGTTACTTTATTTTTCTTACATAATGAAGAAATGCCCAGATGATGATTTTCAATTCATGAAGTATATCGAATCATGTATCATATTCATGAATATCAATTGAGCAGACGTGACACGCATTTTTCATATAAAGATGACATAGAGTACTCCTTCTGGTAGTTCTTTGTCTGAAATATGCTTATTCTAAGAACATCGCTACAGAGTTAATAGTGCACTGCATAACTGCATGTTAAAAATCAGAGTGCTAAAGAAACATCTTAAAGAGAAATTATTCATAGATTTATAATATTTATGGCTTGCCACATTTTTCAAGGACAGGATCTTTCTGCATATTCCTTTCCTTTCCTGCTTTTTCTGCAAAATTCTTCATCTCTAAATATTCACCCAGCCAACCCACTTTCATCTGTCTAGGCTCATTCTCAGGCTAGATCACGTTGCTGCCAAGCAGCGCACCATTCGTGCTTCACCTCCCATTCGCACTTCTGCCTCATTAGCAGCTTGGCCCTCCAGATCATCCAGTCTCTGCCCATTTCTCAGTTAGCTGTAGAGGAGTTGTCCCAGGAGAAAACCTGCAATATTGTGGTGACTTTGAACACAGAGTTAGTCACAAGTTAAAACAGAAGCATCAGCTTCTCATACTTGTGCAGGCACTTGTGTGTCAGCAGTGTTCCTACTGAAAAATGGTGAGGACACTCTCTAATTTATGATTTTCCTCCTTTGACAAATACAAAACTAGTAGGATGGAATATGACCCCTAGTATGCTCTAATAACATAAAAAAACCCCTTGCAAATAGGAACCAGTGTGTATACAGATGTTCTTCTTGATTAAAATAAAGCCTTCTCTGTTTACATCACGCTAGGAAGCTGCATTACAAGAAAGATAAGAGGGTAAAATAAGAAATGTGACCTGAAAGAAACTCAGATTAGACTGACAGATGAAGGCCAAATACTGGTGTCCTTGAAATTGATGGGATTTTTGCCTCTGAGAAAGTAGTCAAAAGACAGTAGCACCCTGTGTCTCTTTTAGGGTTTACAGTCCTGCACTGCAGTCAGACATCCCTCAAGGAGGTCTCTGCCACAGGGTAAAAGAGCATAACAAAAGTGTGCTGCCTGTCCATGTTAGCCTGCCTGAGCTGTCAGCTCACAGCATTTGTTTATTGCACTTCAATTTTCCTGTCCAGTAATGCTTCTCTAGAAATGAGCTTTGACTAATTTTTAACTAATGCAGAGAGAAATGATGGGATCATTTCCTGTTCCTTAGAACAGTTGTAATTTTGCCCTTACAAGCAACAGGGTATTTGAAGACGTCTTTCTTCTTCCAGGTTACCAGTCTGTCCTGCCAAACCAGCAGCAGGGTTTCCAGGGTCTCATGGGAATGCAGCAGCCGCCCCAAAGCCAGAACCTGATGAATAATCAACAGGGAAATCAGGTGCAAGGCATGATGGTGCAGTATCCAGCCATGTCGTCTTATCAGGTATTTAGGAACCCTAAGGAAAGACTGCTTTTCTTGGAGAGTGCTTAATTGAATTAAGTTTTTGTACCACACGATGGTCATATAGCTTCATTTGGACAGTGTGTGGCAGGAGGCCTCCTGATGAATATGTCCTAAATCAAATCAGTTTCTTTGCTTCCTGTTTACATAGTGTTAGTATTCCTGATTTTAATTCTGAATTGGGAATACTTCAAATGAACTATTTATTACAGCTTGCAGTGAGAGTAAAATGTCACAAAAAATGAAGGAATTAGACTTCTTCCTGTGAAGAAAATTAATTAAATAAATATAAGAACATTGTGTATTTCTTCTTTTTTTTTTTTTTGCCAGTACAGTACTGTTTCCTGTAATGAAGTTGAGGGCTTTGCCTGATCAAGTTAAAAATTACTCTTCTGTGGAGACTCCTGCCAAGGATCTCACCATGTCTTCTATAATAAGCTGTAGCCAGATGGATTATTGTTTATTGGGTTCTGGGGAGAGGGAAGGCAGTGTCTTGATTTTTACCAGGTCTGTAAGTTCCCAGACTTATTTCCCCACCTTATACCTAGTTTCTGTGAGATATGCCAAGAGCATATGAGAGGTGGCCTGTGCTTACATTTCTTACTGGTTTCTCTGGAAAGTTAAGAAACTAAATGATATCTAACATTTTAATAGATTGCACTGATTGAGCAGCCATTCCACTTTTCCCTTGGCTTCTCTGAAAACAGTACAGCAACCCAGATGGAAATGGGGGAATTACTTGTGGGTAAAATTTTCCCCTTACATCTTCAGAATTACTGTACTGAAAATGTGTTTTAAAGGTTAATGATCAAGATAGGGGTTTAGACTTTTTAGATGGCCTAGATATACCAGGGTCAAGTCTTTCATTTGCACTGATCCCAGAAGTTCATATTCCACTAGGTCATAACAGAGACACTTTCCTGACCTAGGAGCAGAGGGAATTCTCTTAAACCCTTCTCTAACAAAAAAATCCTCGAGATGAGAACAGCTCTGAGCAGCACAAAATGACACATTTGGGCAGAACATGTAGTATACTCAAATTCAGCTAGAAGGAACGTAGGGATACTGGGAAACTACTTTAATTTGCTTAGTAATTGCTATCTTCTTTTTTTCTACATCTTTCTGTATTCCTACCTAGGTGCCAATGACCCAGGGTTCTCAAGGATTGCCACAACAATCATATCAACAACCAATCATGCTACCTAATCAATCAGGTCAAGGAACACTTACAGCCACTGGAATGCCTGTCTACTGTAATGTCATACCTCCTGCCCCACAGAACAACCTACGGTTGATTGCCCCACACTGCCCCTCCAATAACGTTCCAGTTATTTCTGCCAGCTGCAGGACAAACTGTACGAGCATCAACAATGCAGGGTGGCAGGTCAAGTACTGACACTGTGGCTTAGAGTGGATATATGAGGGTAGCGGTGCATTATTTGACAAATAAATCATGGCCTTCAAATGAAGAGGAACACAACAGGATAAACAGTTGAGGGCATAGGTACTGACCTATGCTCAAGTGATTTGCTGCTGGAAAAATCTGTAAAAAAAATAAAAGTAAAATAAATTTTGAAAAAAAAAATGTTTGCTGGTTAATGGTGCATATTTTTGTCATGTCTGCTAGGTATGCCTTTATAGCTTAGCTAGTGACATGAATTCATTGAGGTAAGATTTTTTCCTACCACTGAACACCACTGTGTAGATTGTAATATCCCCGATTCGGATTAGTTTTGTACTTTGTGTTGACTTTGTGAAGCTAAAAGTATTTAAAAATATGATAAAAATCACATTGTACCAAAGCTGTAATGGAAATGAAAAAAAAAAAAGAAAACAAAAAGAGAATTACTGAATGGAAGGAATAATTTATATACACTATAGAGTTTTTTATGGATATATACTGTATTGTAGTGCTTAATCACAATAAAGCTATTTGACCTTATGGAGGAAGGTCATGTTTCTACCACCTGCTTGGTCTCCTCTGTTTCTGAGTGAACTTCCATTTGGTTCTGCATTGTCTTGTTTCAGGTAAAGCTAATGGGGGAATGGTGCTTAAAGGGCTTACAGGAGTTTGACGAGAAGACAACATACCTTTGTCTCATCATATATACCATAACAGCTAAGACCACTTAGAAATTGTAGCATAGCCACACACAAAGTATTCAGTGAACGATGTACCAGTTCATCTTAAACTGAGTTTGCACTTTTCCAATCCCTAGGACAACCAGTAATGTCACAAACACAATTCGTCACTGTTACAAGCTTCTACTAAGTCATACCTCTCCAAGAGGCCATACAACAGTTGTATATTAGAAGACGTAGTTGTCTCATGATATCCCGTCCACTGGATGGAAGATTAGTTGCTACTAATGTAGCAACCACAGTAACCAGCAACACTGCTGCATAGAAACTCTGCCCGTTCATCGGTACTCCAGCTGTAAACTGTTTTGACACAAGATGGCCCAAAAATCTGGTCCATTGTGTTCAAGTAAGTGGGGATGAACAATATATTTGGGGGTTTGGCTTTTAAAACATAGTGGTTTGCCAGAAATTTTTAAAACTTTTAATTCCAGTGGTGTTTCTCATTACTGTGTCCATCTTCACTCAAATTCTCTTCTTGTTCTGATTAATTGGTTTTGATTCATAAATGCTGCATTGAGTTCCTCATTTTGATTCCATGATGACAACATCTGAGACACAAATGCGTTTATCAGACAAAAGTTGGTGTTGTTTTTCACTTAAACTCCATTTTTGATAAATTTTGAACACTTTTACAATAGATAGGAGTTGAACACTCCAGAATAAGGCGTATGCATTATGAAAAATCCGAGATCCTTTTGTGTGTAAAATCCATATGCGTTATAATACAGTTTTAGGTCCACCCAAGATTACAGCAGCCTACAAGGCCCTGGACCATTGTTAATCTGAATGTGAAAGAGCTTTTATTTTACATTTAAGATAGCTGACCTTTTCTTTACTTTCTACTTCAGCTGTGGAAACAAGCACAGGAGGGGCTACTTCCCATATTTAAAACAAACATTTTTCTTTTCTGTACAATGAACAGATATCTTTCAGACTTCAGTCTTTTTTTACGTGTGTGTCTTAAAGTGTGGAATCCAGTCCTGTGGGATCATAAGAAAGCCAAACACTGAATTTTATGTAGTGTAATCATGATTCATTTGCTGAGAGACAGTCAAGAGCATGAGCAGTTAAGTAAACACAATTCACTCTTCAATTAGAGGTGAAATGCCTTGGGAGAGCCTGCTGATTGATTTTTTTTTCCTTTTTTTAAATCAAGATACTGCATTTGAATTTTGCCTGTGACCCTGAGCTCTCATTTCAGATGCTCTGCATTGTATGGCTTATTTCTTTTTAGTGTTTTATATACTACAGAGGTTTCTCTCCTAGCATTACTATAATTACACATAATTGGATTTGCTGCTACAGAACAACTGACAGCTGAATGAATGGGTGTCCTTCTCTGTCAAGACTCCACAGTCCAGCAGGAAGGACCTACCTGCAGGTGACCTTGAGCAGGACAGATTTGTGTGTGCCCAGGCTGAACGAGAGGGGAGGGAGGAGGAATCTCTGTGCACCCAGTGTCTGGGGTGAAGAGATGCTTTGGTTGTCACTATATTTAAGTCCTATTTCTTCTCCGAAGTGCTACTGTTACCTTACTAATCTTCCCACTTGTCAGGGAACAATGAATGAATTGCCTAGTAAAAAAAATCTGCTCTCAGCATCATAGATTGATGGCAAGCTGGGCTGTAGATGCTCTTGGTAGAGATGGGCAAGAGAGTCAAAAAGGAAAGCCTAGGAATCGTGCTTCTGTAAAGAGAGAATTTCCTCAGGTCTTTATTCCACTTTTGGTCATGTCCCCTTAGCAAACAGCATATCCTATGCCTGACCATGGCCATGCTTTCCCACAGTTTACCTGTCTCTGCTAGTACAATGACCAGCTGGTATAAAACATGTACTTAGCTGTGGTAGTAGGGATCCTGCTGGCTGACTTCTCTCAGCCTTGTGACAGCAGCACCTACCTGAACGTTAATGTACATTCCTGCTGAAATGAGACTTTAGCTTTTTATGTAAAATTGAGCAGTTTCGGGAGGAGGTCACAGCCACCCACCCCAAAATGTCTTACATCCTCTGATTGTGTCTCACTCTTCAAAGAGTTTGAATCTCCTTAGGCATATGAGGAAACTGAAAGTGTTCTCCCTCAGCTATGGAGAATGCCCTAATTATTACAGTATCATATACATGGGGGAGACATCTCACGTGGTGGTGCACATATTTGTTTTATGCTGGAAGAACTTGCATTTGAAGACAAGTAATTTTTTTTTCTGTATTAAGTGAAGCACAAAAATTATCCTCTAATTTTATATTTTAATAATAAGATATTTTTAATATGATATTAATTAAACTTTTTGTTCATTAATAAAATTATTTTGAGCTGGATTGCTTAGCACCCTTCTGCTATTAAACCAGAGATGTTTCAGCATTGTCAGAAGAGGAAGAGGAGGAAAAAAGAAATGACCTGCAAATACACGTAACAAAAATAGGTAGGTGAAGCTCAACATTTTTTTCTCAGTCTTTTGAAATATTTATGGGTAATCTCCATAAGACGGGTGCTGTTAGATTCACCTGGCCAAATGTAGTTCAAGCAACTTATCAATTGGTCACCATGAGTTCAGAGTCCAGCTCCAGTGAAATTATTTACAGGACATACACTTCTCCTGTGGGGATGCTCTGTCACTGTGGGCTTATTTTTCGCTAGTCTTCCTTTGGAAATTGGCAGACTCAGGCATCTACTCTGTGGCACCCCTGTTGTGGTGCTAGAGACTGTTTGTTGCATTTTCCCTTTGCCTACTGCATCCTTTCCTGGTTAATTGTATATTGCTTTCTCCTTCTTTTTATATTCTACAGCTGATGGAAAGCTCTCCCAAGGCCCCATACATATTTAATTTGCCACTTTTTTTCTAAAGTTTATATTGCACTGAGAAACCAAAGAGGCATATCCTGAATTAAGCTGACTGCATTAGATGACACTGATCAGCCTTTTGGATGGGTCTAATTCATTTGGGCTGTCATTTGCAGAGGCTGTGCATCCTAACAGAAACCAGATGCCATTTGCTCTTGCTTTGCCCTTTGTGCTGCCCCAAAAGTCAATGATTTTCTCCTAGAACTGTATTATCTTGTGTTTCTGTTTAACTCTGTGTGAAAAACTTCCTGTACTGAAGGAAGACTGCATGAATTATCCCAGCAGCAAGGAATGGAAACGTGCAGGGAGGTTGTAGAATGCCCAGAGCATCTTGTTCTCCGCCCCCTTAGCTGTAGCGTGGGGACCCTCCCTGACATGACCATTGGATGCTTCAGTATGATTATTTCATTTGTGTTCCTAAAATGTGCATAGGTCAGTGTCTTTTCAGCCCCTCCATTTGTTAAGCCATAGCCTGTGTTGCCCCTTTGGGCTAATTATAGAGAAACCAGTTTCCCTCCCTTAATGTTCAGTGGAGAGGCTCTGATGGAGGGTGCTGCCCAGACAGGGCTTGGAGTTTTGGAGTGTTGTCTCTCAGAGCTCCTATTGATAGGTAAGGGAGAGGGAAACTTGTTCCCTCAGTCTTCAGAATTATACAACTCATGCTTAGCCCAGAGACTGTGCTTCAGAAATGCTCACAGCTTCCACACCTGCTTAGCTCATATTGTCTAAAATCACGTTGCTGCTGTAGGGCATTACTATCTAGTCTTGGGCAGTGGCCAGCTTAGGGCAAACGTTGAAGCAGTCTCGACTGGTGTTTCAACTGCAATCCTACGAGCCTCAGGAAGATTGTAGCAAGGTGGGAGTCGGTATCTTTTCCAAGGTAACAATTACAGGACAAGAGGAAATGGCCTCAATGCACCGGGGAGGGTTTAGATTGGATATCGGGAAAAATTTCTTCACTGAAAGGGTGGTCAGGCAATAGAATAGGCTGCCCAGGGAAGTGAGGAAGTCACCATGCTTAAAGTGTTCAAAAGATGTATGGATGTGGCACTTGGAGACACGGTTTAGTGATGAACACTTTGCCACTAGGTTAATCATTGGACTCAGTGATCTTAGAGGTCTTTTCAAGCCTTAATGATTCTATGATTCATATCTGTGTAGCAGGATATAGAAATGCCTTGAGCGTTTTGGATGAGAAGACTCACTGCATGCACATTGCCTGCACCTACCACAGTGCGGATGATGCAGCAGTTTGGGGGATGCCCACTTCCCAAAACAGGGCTAAAGATGGCCATTTCTAATTGAATTTCTGCCCATGGTTTGTTTTAAGAATTGGCTGTCTGCCTTGCTGGTTCCTTTCATTCTTCAGAAGAGTGGCTATAATGAGCCTTTGAGGCAGTGGACTAATGGTTAAATATTTAATGCCACACAGTGTTTCTGAGGATGGTTGGCCGTGCATTCAGTGATTGGCATGAACTATTGCTGTACTGCTTTGTTTTGCAGACCTTGGCTTACACACTGCTGAAAACACAACTTTCCAGTGCACATCAGAGGTGGGCATCAAACCCCACTCTTCTGGCTCCTTTTACAATATCCCACCAACTGTAGAAGGAGATGACTCCTCATTATCTCTCCTGATATAAGGACAAGGGGACATTAAGAGAAATTTTGCCTATTAAACCAGCAGTCTCCAAACAAAGGAAACATAAGAGGAGCTCTTTTTCCCCCACTGAATATACAGACAACCTGGGGCATTCCTTGCTGCAGGATGTAGGTTCCATTTCTGAAATAAGTGAACATGGTTAGAGAAGAATTTTGTACTGAAAGCTGCTAAATACAGCCAGACGGTGTTTAGTCCACAGAGGCAGAAAACAGCCTGAAGAAATGTCGCCATATCATTCCCCCATCTATAAAGCCTTTCCCCAGAAACTATTAGAGATAAATATTGGACTGGGAGTGAACATCTGACCTGATAAAATATG